ATCCACACAATGAATACTTATCAGAGTGAGAGAAAATGAATGCATATAACAACAGGGGTAATTGTAAAAAGAAAGAAGCCAGAAGCAAAAAGCTCTATGCTGAAAAATTCCATGTATAAGAAACTCTGCAAGAAAGATGCCCAAGGGCATAGAGACAGAAAGTAGATTCATGATTGCTTGGTTGGTGGGGGGGGGGGGGGTTGTCGGTGGGAGTCTGGGAGGGTTGACTGAGAGGGAGGGCGGCAAGGAAACTCTTTGGTGATGCTAGAAATGGTCTTCATCTTCATTATGGCCATTATAGGAATACATACTTCTATCGTGGCCTCTCTATCTACATCTTTAACATGGGTGTACGTTACTACATGTAAGTTACACATCAATAAGATTTATTTTAAAGGTGGTTGTGAGGAGCCCAGGATTGGAGAGGGTAATGAATGGCATATTTCTGTGTCAGAGTGAGCTGTTTTGAGTAGGTTCTGTGCTAAGCAGGAATGGCAATGGAAAGGGAGGAAAAATACTAGAGGGGGAGCTGATTAATGAGCCATATTTCTTGAAGAGAGGAGGAAGAAGGTGTGCACAGAGCTCAGGTGGATGGATGAGCCACAAATGAATGGAAGGCAGCTGCATTCTCACCTGTGTCTGCTGTGGAGGAAAGTAGTTTGTGATATTATATTTGCATAAAATTCCTATGTGAGAGGGCAGAAAGGCTCATTTTAAGCATTCAATCCCTTCAAAGCCAGACACTATCTGAATGAAGATACGGATATTTTTATTTATTTTTTGGGGGGGTCTGGTTGTGGGGCCTTTACTCTGGGGCTGGGCGCTGTCCCTCAGCTCTTCAGCTCAAGGCTAGCGCTCTACCACTGGAGCCACAGCACCACTTCTGGCTTTTTTTCTTTTTGCTTATGTGGTGCTGAGGAATCGAACCCAGGGCCTCATGCATGCAAGGCAAGCGCTCTACCACTGAGCCACCTTCCCAGCCCCAGATATGGATATTTTGTAGAAAAAAAATACTACCTCTCTCATATAACTTGTTTTCTTTTCTCTCATATAATTTAGAATACTAAGAAAGACATTGAACAAAGTAAAGCAAGGACTTTTTAAGTGTAGATTATTAGCAATGCTGTAAAAGTGTAGAAGGTTAGGGAAGAATTTACCAGGAAGAACTTCATTTATTTTATTTTTAGTTATTATTATTTTTTTACTGTGCAAGGGCTCAAACTCAAGGTCCTATACATGCTACGCAAGCACTCTACTACTTGGTGTTAGGGCAAGAATATAAAATGTCAAATTTACCAGGCACTAATGACCTGTAATCCTAGCTACTGAAGAGGCTAAGATCTGAGGATCCCAGTTCAAAGCTAGCCCAAGCAGAAAGGCTCATAAAACGAATCTGCATTTAACAATCTAAAACATCACAAGTGGAAGGGTCACTCAAGGGTTAGAGCACCATTCTTGAGCAAAAAAGCTTAGGTACAGAGGCAGCCCTGGCCAAGAGTTCAAGCACCAGTCCCAGCACAAAATAGAAACAAAAAGGAAGACATGAAAACAATATGGAAACCCTTGTTGGATAGGATCAACTTAGGACATGCCTTTGTGCCTACCCGCATTCATATTGAAGAGGAAGCTGAAAACTGACAGTCAGGGGGTCCCGCTGCTCAGGAGGAGCAGGTGGAGAAGAATTAAAGGGGCACACATTAATGGAAGACACACTCAGGAAGAGGATAGGACCCGTGTAGGCCATAGGTGACTAGGGGCATTATAGAGGGTTCTTTTAGAGTTCCATGCAAAAATATGGAAAATATTTTCTTTGATTGGAAGCCATTGGTTTCTTTGAAAGGCCTCATTTGCATGTTTCCAATCTGGTAGTAGTAGACTCAGTAGATATTAAAGGTCATAGTAAGGAAAGGATTTTAAGCATAAATACCACAAGAACACTCTTTCGTATTTTTTTTCTTAAGAGGAAACAAAGTAGTTTAAAGAAGTGTCTATATGCATAAAGAGAATAAATAGAACAGAATGGATGTGAATAGACTTTGTGCATATTTTCTCTGATGGAAGCACAGACCCTGGGGAGCATCTATTCCCACAAGCAGATTCCATCTGAGATGCTAAAGGCTACCACTGCCACTAGAAGCATTATTTTTCCCCTAAACTTTTAAATCTATTTTTTTTAACCAATAATGAATCTATAGAAAGTGAGCACAGCCCAGGTCCAAAAGCCCAGGGAAATAATTGCAGAATTGTTATCAAGAATAATAGTAACAGGATAAGCATATGACTGATGTGAGCGCCCCCTATTTTCTTCCCTCATTATCATTTGCCTACCTCAATGTCATCATTTTAAAAACACTGTTTTCATTGTGTCTGCTGCCTACCTCCACCCATAGCTGATGGCTTACAGGCTATTAAGTCTGTGCTCATGGATGCAAGGAACATCCATTTTCCTGTAATTGCCATAATTTCATCTTCCTTTATGGCTGAATAATACTCTATTGTATTTTCTTTATCTATTCATTGGTTGATGAACACCTAGGTTGATTGCATAGTTTAGCTATTGTGAATATCTCTATTGTATGCAGACTCACTTTAGATATTCTCGAGATCCTATGGTAGTTGCATTTTTAGTTTTTTGAAGAACTTCCATACTGATTTCCATAGTGGCGGCACTATTTTACATCCCCACCAGTAGTGTGAAAGACTTGCTCTTCCATTCCCATCCTGACATTTGTTGTTTCTTCCTTCCTTCCTTCCTTCCTCCCCCTCCCTTTTTTTTGCCAGTCCTGAGGCTTGAACTCAGAGCCTAGGCACTGTCCTGAGCTTCTTTTGATCAAGGCTAGCACTCTACCACTTGAGCCACAATGCCACTTTTGCCTTTTTCTGTTTATGCGGTACTGAGGAATCAAACCCAGGGCTTCATGCATACTAGGCAAGCACTCTACCACTGAGCTACGTTCCTAGTCCTGTTGGTTGTTTTCTTGATGATTGCATTCAGACTGGGAAGAGATGGAATCTCAGTGTAGGATATTTATTTATTTATTTGGTACTGAAGATTGAACTCAGGCCCTCAGATTTGTTAGGTAGGACCACCTGAGCTGTATCTATAGTCCCTTTAAAAAAAAAAAAAAAGGTAAGGTCTTGTTTTATGCCCAGATGCCCAGGTCAGTCTGAGCTACAATCTTCCCATTTGTGTCCCTGGGGATAATAGCCATGCACCACTGTCCAGTCCTTGTTTGAAATGGAAACTCAGAAACTTCTTGTTTTTCCCCAGTCTGGTCTCAAACTGAAATCTCCTCATCTCTGCCACCCCAGCTTATTGAAGCTAGAATTACAGGCTTTGAGACACTGCACTGAGTTCAAATGATGTATGTGTTTTGTTTTTTATTTAATGATGGTCTACTCAGTACCTAAATGAAAGGTGGAGACTCAGGACAGAAAGCAAGATAATTCACACTGTTATGTAGTGTTTCCCAGTAGGGATTTGAGCACAGGATGAGCTTTACCTGTTTGTAATCTCAATAGCAGTTTCACTCACTTCCTTCCAAGCATTTGTCTAGGGGAGGAAGAGGGACACATGTCTATACATAGGAAATGGGCAGGGATGACTTTGGGGGTGGGGGCCATGAAAGGTACTGAACAAAAGTACATCCTTGGGGCCTCCCATGGGACCTAGTATATACCATTCTGCAAGGGTTGGCTGACTGATGCTGGAAGAAGGGAAGAAAAAGCTTTGGTTGACTTAGTCCTTACAACAATGTGGGGTTAGGACAGAGAAGTTAAACCCTCCGAGGTCAGCATTTGTGTTAGCTTCTCTGTAGGTCTCTAGTTCTCTATACTCCATATACTCTAGACTCCAGAGAGATGTGTAAAATGTAAACCAGACTCACTCTCTTATTTCATTAGACATAAAGTCCAAATTCCTTACCATCACTGAGAAGAAGATACGGAGTCTTCTCCTCATAAATTCATAACTGGGACAGAATCTTGTAACAAAGGACAAAGTAATGAGAGAAAATAGGCATGTTTACTGATGTGCACAACCAGATTAAAACTCAAGGCAACGACTTCAACAAAAAATAATAAAATTGAGAGATGACAAGAAAAAGAGAAGACTTTGAGTCTCTATGGGCAGTAACTTGGGTCAAACAAGTAGTAGATAAACGTTAGTTTGTTATGGCCCAGGTAAGGTAGCTCATGTCCATAATCCCAACTACGTGGAAGGAAGAGGTAGCAGTCCAAGAATGTGGGCAAAAGCAGAAGATGCTATCTGAACATGAACTAAAGCAAAAAGGATTGGGAGCATGGCTCAAGTGGTAGAGCAAGTGTGAGGCCTTCCGTTCAAACCCCAGTTCAGCCAAAATGTACACCATCTGTAAGGCGTATCAGTCATTTCAGTGCGGAGGAGGAGCTGAAGCTCCCTTCAGTGCTTCACCTTTGTTCTTCCCCACAGACAGAGGTGTGCAGAATACTTGGCCTTGGTAAATCTTAGGCAAGTGGAGGCAGGGCAGGGACCTCCCCTGCTTCTGCTTCTCCTTACCTGGTTACAGGTCAGCCATCTTTCTTTGGGCCCAGATCTAGTCTGGTCTGACACACCCTGAGGCCCGCCGGGCCCCCCCTGCTTTTCTCACCGGCTCTCGCAGGCCTTGTGGCTTGTGGCCCGGGCTCTGGCCCTCTGGCCCCGGCTGTGTCCTCGCCAGGCCCACTCTTCCCTTGAACTTGGGCCGGGGCTGCGGCTTCCGGCCATCTAATCTCAGGCCTGGTTGCCCCCTCTTTCTGGGGGAGACCTACCCAGCACCCCTTGATTTAACAAGCCCCCCCCGGCTGCCTCCCACCTGGTTTATTTCCCTCTCGGATTTATCACCACCTAAAACTGCCCCTTTTTCAGGGAGTTAATTCACTTTCCCACTTAGTGCCCCACACAAGGTAGGCCCAAGGCGGCGCGCGGGGGCTCTTCTCCCCCGCCACCGCCCCCGGGCCCGGCCCCGCCCGGAACTCGAGGGCGGCGGCGCGGTTTCCCTCCGTCAGGAGGGGAGTCTCGGGAGCGCACACCGGAAGGCGGGGCGGCGAGCGGCCCGGCCGTGGTGAGTGCGTGGGGGGCCTTGGGCGGGCGGCCGGGTCTCCTGCCGGGTCGGGGCTTGGGGCGGAGCCGCCGGAGCCGGGCGGGGCCGGGGTCGCCGGGACGGACCTGGGGTCCCTGGCGCCGGCCTGAGGACCCCGGGCCTCGGCTCGGAGGGGGCGGGCGGCGGCGGCGCGGCCCCGGGTGGAAGCCGGGCCGGGCCTGTACCTCTGTGGTCGGGGTTGGGGGGCGGGGAGATGTGCTGGCTCAAGTTCTGGGTCTGTGGCTACCAGTGACCCTCACTCACTCTCTCCTTCGGTCTTTGGGCTACTGGTGTCCGGCCCAATGATGGGTGGATTCATTCATTCATTCCAGGCCCATTTCTAGGTCGGGTGCTACCCAGATGGATAGAACTGCCCACAGGTGTTCTATCTATCTATCTATCTATCTATCTATCTATCTATCTATCTATCTATCTATCTATCTATCTATCTATCTATCTATCTATCTACTGTCCATCTACCTATCTGTATACCATCTATCTATCATCTATGTATCTGTCTGTCTACCTGTCTGTCTGTCTCTATCACCTATTTATCATCTATTTGTCTTTATCATCTATCATCCATCACAGAAATCCCTCTACCTTCCACATTCAGAGGCTGAGCTATAGTTAGAACTCGGTACCCCCGTTGTCACTGTATTTGATTCGGGTGCTCTGCATTTTGTATACGCATTTTTCTAATTTGGGGAGAGGAAGGGAAATAACCACATGCTGAAACAAGGATACAGGATGACCCATTGTAACAATGAGACATACAAGATACTATGTTGAAAGTCAACTTTACAACTTGGGGGGGGGGGGTGAGGAGGGAGGAGTTTCGGAGGTGGGGAAGGAAGGGATGGTTGGGGGAAAACAAAGGAGGAGGTAACAATGCTGGATAGGAAAGGTACGCATTACCTTACTCCTGTATCTGTAATCCCTCTGTACAGTATCTTTACAATAAAAAAATTAAAAAAAAAAAAGAACTTTGGATGAGGGTGGGAGACCTGCAGTGAGGATAAAAACCTATTCATTTAGCATACAAAATTTAGGCTTTTAGTCAGAGATACCTGCCTATTTAGAAGGGAATCGACATCATTAGTGAGTGCACTGCCTATGGTGTTGACAAGTACAGAAAAAAATGGACAAATTATGTTCACAGCCTTCTCAGGTAACATTCACCATGAAATTAGGTCATCAGAGCAGATGGTGGGTCCTTTTGTTAGTGAATGACTTACCCAGGTTCTTTTTTTTTGGGTCCGGTCGTGGGGCCTGAACTCTGGGCCTGGGCACTGTCCCTCAGCTCTTCAGCTCAAGGCTAGCGCTCTACCACTTGAGCCACAGCACCACTTCCGGCTTTTTTCTTTTTGCTTATGTGGTGCTGAGGAATCAAACCCAGGGCCTCATGCATGCAAGGCAAGCGCTCTACCACTGAGCCACCTGCCCAGCCCAGTCCTTACCCAGGCTCTTACCTCCAGTAAATAACTAGACTATGATCTGGTTGGAGACTCCTGGACCAGCCCTTTCCACATACTATTATTTTGTGCTGGTAGTGAGGCTTTAATCCACTGTCTCTTGTTCTCCCTGGGCCCTGGATTGGCTTCAAACCTTCATCCTCAGAACTCAGTCCACTGAGGATCAAGGTCTTATAGGTATGAGTGCTGGCATCTGGCTCCAAATTATTAGTAGTAATTATTATTACTTTTTTATTATTATTATGGTACTGAGGCTTGAACTCAGGGCCTGAGCATTGTCCCTTAATTATTTCACTCTGCTCCGTCACTTGAGCAACAACTCCACTTCAAGCTTTTTTAGTGGTTAATTGGAGCTGAGAGTCTCATAGACTTTTCCTGCCCAGGCTGCCTTTGAACTGTGGTCCTCAGATCTTAGCCGCCTGTGTAATTAGGAATACAGGCATGAGCCAGCCACCCTTTCCTGGCTGCATATTTATTTATTTATTTATGCCTGGGTACTCTTCAGCTCAAGGCTAGCAGTCTACCACTTGAGCCATAGCACCACTTCTGGCTCTTTCTGTTTGTGTGATATGAGGAATCAAACCCAGGACTTCATGCATGTTTGGCAAACACTCTACTACTAAGCCACATTCCCAGCCCTGCAAAATTATTTTAAGTACAGTAATCATTTATGTCAAAAGGTGAGTTTGAGTCAGAGATGAACTCAGATTACTCTCTAACTTACTGGCATTCATTTCACCTTCCCCTTTGATACTTTTTTTTTTTTGTCGGTCGTGGGGACTGAAATCTGGGCCTGGGCTGTGTCCTTTAACTCTTCAGCTCAAGGCTAGTGCTCTACCTCTTGAGCTTTGGGCATTTTCTGCTTATGTGGTGCTAAGGAATTGAACCCAGGGCCTCATGCGTGCAAAGCAAGCACTCTACCACTGAGCAACCTTCCCAGCCCCTGATACTTTTTTAAAAAAAAGTAGTCAAACTTGACCTCCACATGAGTCAGTCCCAAATCTGTATCTTCTGCCCAATTTCTCCTCCATTCAAACCCTTATATCCAGATAGCCAATGGACATTTACACTTGGTTGCTCTGTACCGCCTAAGCTTTTCTCTGTAAACATACAATACAAATCTGAAATAATCCTCCAAGTGTTCAGGCACATAACCTGTCTTGGTTCTCTTTAACCTCTTATAACCAATTAATTGATCACCACATGCTACCTATTCCTGGAGATCTAAAGATCTCCAATCCAATCTGACTTTCTTTTAATTCCTTCCTAAATTTAATGCCTAGGAATTATGGTAGAAACTTAGTAATGGCTCTCTTTAGCTTTACTTTTAATGTCTACCCATTCATTTTACATTCTGCTAAAAAGTGATTTTTCTCAAAGTTCAAATATGATCATATTACTCTCCTGTTAAATCCCATATATTTTTTCCCATCGTCTTTAACATAATACCCAAAGTCATTAATGTAATCCAAAGTCTTTTCTGATGCTTTCCTCACCCTCATCCTGTATCTCTAAACCATTCTTTCTCGAAGTTGGGCATGGCACTGACCTTTGTCAGAACTATGGGAATCATCAGCTCAGTTTCAGAACAAATGACCCTTTTGGGGAAGAGAAGTAATAGCAATGAGTATGGATTTCAAACAAGTTCTGTGCATTTTAATATGTGGGGCATTAAAGATTGAGGACCTCTGTTCTAGATACACACTCCTGTTTAATCCTGCTTTTTATCCCCACCAGATGACTAATGAAGTTCAGGACATACTACTCCAAAATGTGGCACCTTAACACTTGAGAAACAGTAGAAGCAGGAAGCCCACTTTTTTCGTACCTACTCTTCTTCCCTGAAACAGACCCTGAAAGAGATCTTTGACCTTCTCTGTTTAAGACCCTCCTGTGAGGGATACCCATCCTACACATGAAGGGAAGAAATACTCTTAAATCTTTGAAGATGCAAAGACACAAAAAAATCGCATCAAACTTGCTAAATTCCCCTTTGTTGTACCATACTTCTGCATAACTGTCCCCTCCTCATCAAACTTAGCATAAAAACACACGTTTCCCTATTTGGATATTCATTTTCAAAGGCCTTTGTGCCATGAAAATCCGTATGCTCTTGTTAATATGGCTTTATTATAGGGATCATAGTTGTGAGTCTTTGAATGGGTGAGAAAAGAAATCTCATATTACTTGTGTTCTTTGGACATAACTTGCATGTTTTGTCTTTGTACAGATTTAGTTCAGGCTACTAACACAAAAATGTGTTAGACTGGGGTGGTTTAAATAATAAATTTATTAATAAATATTTCTTATGGGGAATCTGTGAAAATCTGTCTGGAGATCTGTAACCAAGCTACCAGCATAGTTGGGCACTTGGTGAGAGCCCTGTTTCTGTATTCTTGCTTTGTCCTCACATAGTAAGAGGCGGAGGGGCCCGGGGGTGGCGGGGGGAAGGTATCATGGTGTCTTCCTATAAGGTCCCTATCCCTTTCAAAAGGGTACCATCTTGGTTACCTCTAAAAGTGATCTCTCATGTGAGGGTGTGATACCACCTTATTAGAACTCCAATGTCCATTCTCTATGTCCAGACATAGAGAATGCATACATAGTTCACACATAGTTCTTTCCTTAAAGGACCCTTTACATTGATCTTCTGGTATTGTAACAATTTTTTTTTGCCAGTCCTGGAGCTTGAACTCAGGGCCTGGGCACTGTCTCTGAGCTACTCTTGCTCAAGGCTAGCACTCTACCACTTGAGCCACACCACCACTTCCGGCCTTTTCTGCTTATGTGGTACTGAGGAATCAAACCCAGGGTTTCATGTGTGCTAGGCAAGCACTCTACCACTAAGCCACATTCCCACCCCAACACAATTCTCTTAAGAAGTATTTTCATTGTCTTTAAGTAGTTGTACAAAGGAGTTGCCATCCAACAGAGCAGTTTATGATTACAATTTATCTTGATTAATGTCATCCCTTGCAACCTTCTTACCTATCCCTTCCAACCCATCCCTCACTTTTCTTAATTTTTAGGTTGGTATTGAAAATCTTTTCAATTGAACAAAGGTTTGTGTATACAGTGCATCTTGATTTGCGTCATGCCCTCAATACCTTACCTCCCCCTTTGATGTACCCTTTCCTTATTTTCCTCAATTTCGTGGTATGTACAGTGAATTCTTGCTTGCATTCACTCCCCTTTCCCTATTCATTCTACCTCTCCCCTGGCTCCCATCCTCCCCGCTTGTGTTTTAATTGTGGGTTTCAAAGTTGTGAGCACTCAAGAATGGCTTTTACTCTTTTTTGCCCCAGCTTCTGGCTCAGAGCCTGCCATATAGGCGTGTGTGTGTGTGTGTGTGTGTGTGTGTGTGTGTGTGTGTGTTTTAAGAGCCTGCCACATAGGGGTGTGTGTGTGTGTGTGTGTGTGTTTTAAATTTTTGCCAGTCCTGGCTCCCATCCTCCCCGCTTGTGTTTTAATTGTGGGTTTCAAAGTTGTGAGCACTCAAGAATGGCTTTTACTCTTTTTTGCCCCAGCTTCTGGCTCAGAGCCTGCCATATAGGGTGTGTGTGTGTGTGTGTGTGTGTGTGTGTGTGTGTGTGTGTGTGTGTGTGTGTGTGTGTGTTTGTGTGTGTGTGTGTTTTGTGTGTGTGTGTGTTTTAAATTTTTGCCAGTCCTGGTGCGTGTGGGGTGTGTGTGTGTGTGTGTGTGTGTGTGTGTGTGTGTGTGTGTGTGTGTGTGTGTGTGTGTGTTTTGTGTGTGTGTGTGTTTTAAATTTTTGCCAGTCCTGGTGCGTGTGTGTGTGTGTGTGTGTGTGTGTGTGTGTTTTGTGTGTGTGTGTGTGTGTGTGTGTGTATGTGTGTGTGTGTGTGTGTTTTAAATTTTTGCCAGTCCTGGTGCTTGAATTCAAGGCTTGGGTACTCTCTGTGCTCTTTTTGCCCAAGGGTAAGTGCTCTACCACTGGACATCATTTTATTGGCTAACTGGAGATGAGTCTCATCGACTTTCCTGCCCAGGCTGACATTGAACCGTGATCCTTAGATCTCAGCCTCCTGAGTAGCTAGGATTAAAGGCATGAGCCACCAGCTTCTGGCTTATAGATGTTTTTTCAATGAAGGAATGGTTTAGTGTTGGATGGGGAGGAAGTGCCTTTGGGACCCTTTCTGTGCTAGACTTGATGATGTCTTAGAGTCTCCAGAAGGTGGGCTCCCTGGCACCAGATTTATTGTTGCATGTAACAACAATGTTTCTTCCCAAGAGGGATTTTTGAATAGAAGAATTAGACTTTTTAGTAGAAGCAGCTTTTTTTCCTGGTCTATGTACCTCACTTACAAAGTCACCAACATTTAAATTTTTTTTTTTTGGGTGCGGTCGTGGGGCCTGAACTCTGGGCCTGGGCGCTGTCCCTCAGCTCTTCAGCTCAAGGCTAGCGCTCTACCACTTGAGCCACAGCGCCACTTCTGGCTTTTTTCTTTTTTGCTTATGTGGTGCTGAGGAATGGAACCCAGGGCCTTGGGCATACAAGGCAAGCGCTCTACCACTGAGCCACCTTCCCAGCCCCCAACATTTAAAGTTTTTATCTTGAAACTAATTTATAGCATATGCATTGCAAGTTTAAAAATAAATGTGATCCACCATCTCACAACCTAGAGGAAATTACTTAAATTTTTTGTTTTTGTTTATGTTGGTATCTTAAAATTCATATGTATATCTTGACGTTATACCAGTTATACATTTTTTTTTTTGGTCAGTCGTGGGGCTTGAACTCAGGGCCTGAACACTGTCCCTCAGCTCTTCAGCTCAAGGCTAGCGCTCTACCACTTGAGCTACAGCACTATTTCCAGTTTCCTGGTGGTTTGTTGGAGATAAGAGTTTTGGACCTTCCTGCCCAGGCTGGCTTTGAACTGTGATCCTCAGATCTCAGCCTCCTGAGTAGCTAGGATTACAGGCGTGAGCCACCAGCGCCCCGGCTATACATGGTTTTTTATCCTGCTGATTTTGCTTAAAACTTTCTTATTTTTTCCCACATCTATAAGCATTCTCAGTAAAAACAAAGTTACTTTAAGACTTATTTCATTGATGTTTTATAAGTAGTTGTCTATCCCAGATTTTACTTGTGTGGAATCTAGCAACCAACAGAACAAAGTCCTTACTCTCTTGAAGTTTGCATTCCAGTTCATTCCAATAGGATAGACTAAGCAACAAATTAACAAATAAGAGCTTCCAGCCAGTGGCTCATGCCTATAATTCTAGCTACTGAAGAGGCAGAGATCCAGAGGATTGTAGTTTGAGGCCAGCCTACACAGAAAAGTTGAGAGACTCCATCTCCAAAATAATCTGGAGATATGCCTCAAGTGGTAGAGTGCCAACTGAGCAAGCAGACTGAGTGAAGGCAGGCTCTGAGTTTGAACTCTGTTACCAGAAAAAAATAAACCAAAAAAATAGTAAATAAAAAGAAATACTATGATATGGTAAGTGCCATGGAGAAAAAAAAATAAGGTTATATTTCTTCATTTTGTTTTTTAGTTTTTTAGTGTTTTTTAGCTTACTTTCATTATAGGGATTTATGGATGTATCTATCTTGTTTTATTTTGTGACTATGATAATTGAAAAGTTACTAATTTTATAGGCAAATGATTATAGTTCTTTGTTATTTGTAAGTCTTTGAGCATTTAGGAGACTAGTCACACACATTTCCTAGCTGGAATTTTTTGTGCATTTTCTTCTACTTAATTTCCTATTAAAGGCCTCTTCTAATGTTTAGAAGAAGCCCTTACTGATGTGTTATTGGGTCCCTCATATATAATGGTCGGTTAGTCTTAAACAGTGGCATAGTGAAGGGTAAAAGTGAGAAAAGCAGTGGAAGCCTGGAAGTCTCCTTCCTCCCCTTCTGCTCCTCCTCCTCCCTTCTGATGTCTTGAAGAAAAAGTGAGCAGATAAGGAAGAAGTGTAGTTGAGGTAGAAAGATGTGAAGGAAGAAGGAAACAGAGGTAGGTGAGTGAGTGAGATGGTGAAAGTAGGAGGGAAAAAATGAGAAAGCAGAAATGATCAGAAGGAAAAAAGGAATGAACAGAGGAAAAAAGGATAGAACAAATGTCCAACTGGCCAAAGAGTACTAGACTGTTACACAGTTACAGAATACTTGGATAATGACGCTTTCCTTTTTTTGCCTCCCCTAACCCAGCTCATCTCCAGGAGAAGATGACTGTGTTCTTCAAAACACTTCGGAATCACTGGAAGAAAACCACAGCTGGGCTCTGCTTGCTGACATGGGGAGGTCACTGGCTCTATGGGAAACACTGGTAATAATGGTCACTCCACCTCACCTTCACCCCGGCCTCATAACAGCACAATCAGTGCAAGGCTTGAGGTTGAAATTTTGTCCCTAGCACATTGTGGGTGAAAAGGTATTCAAACCAGAGCCAACACAAAAGTATCTTATAATCAATTCTATGTAATTGAAATATAGGAACTATTATTAACACTCATGCTCCAAGGTACGTAGATTATAGTAGTAGTGAGACTGGAAAGGAGACTATTTTTATTTTATTTATTGTTGAAGATATTGGGGTCTATCCTGCAGAGTATAAACTCCTCTTCTAAGTTAGTAGTGGATAAAAATTGGAACTCATGTATCTCCTTGTTCCATTATTTACTGTGTCTTCATTGGTCCTTACTCCAGTTACTGGATGCTCATTGGCTATGACTCCTCCATCTCCTTGCCTGCCCCCATCTGTCCTATGAACCTAGGGCAACAGAAACTGCCTATTTTTTAGCCTTCAGACATGGAAGGAAAGGGAAGTACTGAAGCTCTTCCGGTTTAATATGGTAATAAGATTAAACAAGTTTTACTATTAAAAAAACCCATCCAAACATATTGCAGTCTTTTGAGAAATAAGTGCTACATTTTCAATATGTAACAACACAGGACTCCAGAAGTCTTAAGTGAAAAGTTTTGTGTGGAAATGTCCACATTGGAAAAAAAGAGATTCATACAGATGCTTTTTGGCATTTCTCAACTGACCATTGTGGGAAAAACTAGGATGCACCATGATGCCTTCTTCTATAACCTGGGACATAGCCTCCCTCCACCCCCTTCTTTTCTTTCTAAGTATGCTCAAGATTCAACTCATAGATTCCATTAGCTAGCATCTCTGAGGAGACCTAAGAAGCTTATCTTTTATAATGTAAGAAATGACAAGGGTGGCACATTTATCTTAACAAATGGACTCTGAGGCATGTAGTATTTTGCTTTTCCTCTCTTTTCTAAGTAACTCGAGCCTTCAAGGAGAGGCTCCTAGTTCTAAGCTACAACAGGGACAGCTCCATCTGGGGACACAACACCCATTGGGGATTATTATTGTTTTCCTAACTAGGTGAACTGTCTAGGAGTTGAAACTTCAAGATTCAAGATTCTGTAATAACTTCCTAGAGTCTTGTGACTTTAAAAAGGGCCAGTTAGGTTTCCAGAATGAACAGAGGCCCCATTCTAAGTTAGTTTAGAAACAGCTTGAACCCAAAGTGTGCTAGAAGTCTGGAGGCTTCATTTTGCTCTGTTTCTGCCCTTGAATTTCAAGATTATTGCCCCAACTGTTTACCATCCCCCACCCCCGCATTGTCTGCTCTTTTTCCCCTCAAACTTACCTTCTGCATGCTTTGAAGCTACTTAACCACTTTTATTTTATTATTATTATTATTAGTTAATTAACTTTTTCTTTTGCCCTTCATGGGGCTTGAACTCTGTTGCAAAGCACTGTCCCCTAAGCTTTTGTGCTTAAGACTAGCACTCTACTACTTGACCACAGCTCTTCAGGCTTTTCGTGATTAATTGGAGGTAAGAGTCTCCTGGACTTAACTGCCTGGGCAGATTTCACCCTCCTGAGTAGCTAGGATTTCAGATGTTGCAACCAGCTGCATGCCCCTTAACCTGCCATGATTGGGAACAAGGTAGTAATGGAGACTGGACTATGGAACTGAGGTTTGGGGTATCGGGACCTGTAGCCTTCCACCAGCTTTAGATCCCAAGGTTCTATTCACCAAGGTTTTCATTGGTCTTGTATAGGGAAGCATGTGCAGAAAGTAAGATATAAACTTCTACATGGGACAATATTTTGTATACAAGTGGTAGATGGCCTCCTTATTTGGGGAAAGACAGCTAAACAGTAAACAGTTTACAATTTGCATAAACCTGTTTACCCTCAGACTCCCACATAGTTTAGTGTGGAGTTAGCTCACACCCAGGATAGAAGTCTGAATTCGTAAGCCAGGACTGCTTGACCTTTCCAGGAAACTCTCAGTATTCTCAGAGTCTTTGGGGAGAAGGCATTCCAATCTCCCAATCCGTTGGGGTCTCGCAGCTCAGATTTTTGGGTTCTCACATCACAGTTGAGCCACCAGCACCCAGCAGCCACTTCTATTTTTATTTTTTATTTTGATGTGCTAAGAACCACATTAAATTTGCAACCTTAATCATTTGTGAGTGTATAGATCAATAGTGTTAAATAAATTCACCTTATGTACAGATTTCTAGAACTTTTTTTTTACACCCATTGAACAATCTTTTCCTGTTTTACATTTCTCCACTTCCTTACTGTTGCTGTGAGCTTGACTGTTGCACCTACCTGGCATATGTATAATCATATAAAGTTGTCATTGTAGGAATTTTTCATGACCATCTCCGAGGACCATGCAGAAGCAGGCAGGCCCAGGAGAACTATTACTGTAAGGTTTATTAGAGGGGTCATATCTCCCCAGGAGAGGGAACACATGGCGCCGGTCCATGTCCAAGTGGCAAGTAGGTCTGGGATGGGGGGAAATGAGGGCGGAAGTGAAGTAAATAAGTGCACAAGTGGGTCTGGGCGGAGAGAGGGAGTGGCCAGCTGTAGGATGGGAACTCTAGGGCAGGGAGGAGCTCAGGTCGGGGTGGAGCTGAGGACCAAAGGTAGGGATGACCAATACTGTTGTATTGTGACAGGTTTACCTCCCTTACAAAATGTTTTTTAGGCTCATCCATGCTATGACAAATGGCAGAATGTCTTTATTTTTAAAGACTGAGTTACTAGTATTCCATTGTGTGTATGTGTCACAGTTGGCTATTGTGAATTCTTGTGATGAACTCGGGAATGCAAATATCTTGATGAGATGCTGCTTTCAATTCTTTTAGATGAATATTCAAAAGTGCTGGATCCTGTAGTAGTTTTATTTTTAATTTTTTGAGAAGCCTCCATACCGTTTTCCATAACAGCTGCATCCTTTTATAATACCACCAACAGTGCCTGAGGGTTCCATTCTCTCCATATGCTCATTAATGTTTTTGTTTTTGTTTTCTGCAGTGGGAGTACTGGGGTTTGAACTCAGGGCATTGTGATGCCAGGCTGGTGCTCTACCACTTGAGCTCTCCCTTTATTCCTTCTTGTTTTGCTTATTATTTTGGAGATAGAGTCTAGTGAACTTTTATGCCCAAGCTGGCCTCAATTATAACCCTCCAGACCACAGTCTTCTGAGTAGCTAGGATTATAGGTATAAGCCACTATTACCTCTCCCCAAGTAATCTTACCCTCTCAGATTGCTTTTGTCACCAGCTCTAGGTAGCCACGGCTTAGATTTCTGCAAAGGCCTCTTCTGAGCTCGACCTGAACATAAAATTCAACTGTGTGTCTACTTGGAGGTTTCATAGGTGTCTCCAACTCAATAGAAGATTTCTCAATAAGAAGACTTCCCACCAAACCTGTTCCATTTTAGCTTTTAATCAATACCATTCAACATCCACCAAATTTCCCATTTGTACCTCATCTTCATTTCTCCTTATCCCCATCCCCCAGACCAAGCTTATGCATTTTAATAAGTTTTTTACTGTGAAAATACTGTACAGAGGGGTTACAGTTACATGAGAAAGGTAATGAATACATTTTATCATTTTGTCCCCTCCTTTGTTTTTCCCCTACCATCCTGTCCCTCCCACCTCCACAACCACCCCCATTCCCCCCGCCTAAATTGTACAGTTCGTTTTTCAACACGGTGTCTTTTACATCTTATTATTGCAATGGGTCAATCTGTATCCCTATTTAAACATTTTGTTTTTTTCCCTTCCCTTCTCCAAATTATGCCAACATCAAATAAAGTGAAAACGCATTATACCATGGGGGAGGGACATACAAAGCAACAAAAAAATCACATGGTACCTTATAAGTACGTTAGAAACAATAGTAAGAAAGAAAAAACCACTTGTGTCTATCTTGGGGTTCACTTCGCTTAACTTCATCTTATCTGGTCATATGTATATACAAGCTTATGCATTCTAAGTGACTTTTTTTTGGTCAGTCATGGGGCCTGAACTCTGGACCTGGGTGCTGTCCTTCAGCTCTTCAGCTCAAAGATAGCACTCTACCACTTGAGCCACAGTGCCACTTCCAGCTTTTTCTGCTGGGGTAATGAGGAATCGAACCCAGGGCCTCATGCATGCAAGGCAAGCACTCTACCACTGAGCCGTCTTCCCAGGTCCCTAAGTGACTTTTTATCCTCAGAATCTCTTCCTGTGTTTTCTTTGCTTGTCCTCACTCACCACCATCATCCACACTGCCATCTTCTTGCATGGAGTCTTTTTTTTGTGTGTGTCAATTGTGAGGCTTGAACTCTGAGTTCAGCTCAAGGCTAGTGCTCTACCACTGGAGCCACAGTGCCACATCCAGTTTTCTAGTGGTTAGAGACAAGAATTTCATGGACTTTTCTGCCTGGGCTGGCTTTGAACCCCAATCCTCAAATCTCAGTCTCCTGAGTAGCTAGGATTATAGGCATAAGCCACCGGTGCCCAACTTGCTTGGAGTCTTAATGGCCTCCTGTTTTCTCTGTATCTGATATGGTCTGTTTTGTATACTATCACCACAATATTCTTTTCAAGTGCAGGTTGCTATTTCTTTTAGAATCAAGTTGAAAATCCTTGCCAGCTCTAGGTGAGGTTGACCTGTCAGCATGTAGCTATATCCTTGCTGCATTCCACCTTTGGCATACGCAACACTGAGGTCTTCCAAAGTGACCTATTCTGTGGAGTGTCTTCACATAAGTTGTTTCCTAATTCTTCTCCAGGCAACTAGCTCTCTAGATATCAAATGTTATTTCTTCAAGGTGGTGTCCCTGTACCTTCTAAGTACAGATAAGGCAGTCTTTCCATTCTTCCTCCATTGTACTGTGAATTCCTTGTTTGGCTCCCATTGTGGTTATGTTTTGTTCTGTTTGTTTCTTCTCTAATCTTAAGTCTTGAAAGGCAGGGGCCATGCTCTGTCTAGCTCAGTATTGTCCTGAAGGC